TAATTTAAACCCCCAGGCGCCTTTGAATCAAAATAAATGTTTGGGCTTAAGCTCTTTCTTTCCACACATCCCATACTTACTTATTCCACATAATACATACCCCCTGCGCTTTGGGTTTCAAATTAGTTTCCGGGCTTAAGTCCTTTCTACTTTAACCCCCTATTTTACTATGTTAACTAAGAATACACCCTCTTGTTTTTATTTGAATAATTTATTTAAAATATTTATATTATTTATTTATTTTGTTTATTTTATTTATTTAAGTTATTTATATTATATATTTATCAATTTTATTCCCATATCATTTTTTATCATTTGCATTAAAAATATATATTTTTATTTATCATAAATAATCATGTTGATAAATAAATATTTGCCTATTATTATAAATATTTTTTTTCATCATTCAAACTTTTTTTTTTTAAAATTGCATCATGCATTCAAGACATCTAACGAATCAAACTTAACATATTTTTTACTAACATAATTTCAATTTCAATATTATTTTCAAAAAGGATTGTGGATTTATTTTCTAAATTAACTGTGAACTACGTCTACGACTATACTATTTTTAAACTCAGACAAGGTACAAGGATAAATTGAAAGCACTTACACAATCCATAAAAAAATTAACCAAACACATACGAACTACGAATTTGAACTCTGATTCTTTCCAAGGAGATACGTAGGCACGCGGTAAAAACCAAGATGAGTTCATAACTAAAAAAAATTAAATTTTTTTCTTAAATATATGGAAATAACAAACATAACTAAGTAGAAATCATCAATCTACCCTTAGACCTAAAAATAAAGCTCATTAAGAACAAGAGAGATAAAGGGTGTCTAATACCTTCCTTTCGTCTAACCAACTCACGAACTTAGAATCTACAAACAATTAGGGTTATCTGTTAGTTTTCCGTCTTTAGAACAAAAATTAATGATGGCGACTCGTTATTTTTTGCCGGTTACGATAACTTTAAGTTACCAATACAATTTTAATTTTCATCTTCTAACTAGTGGGATACCCGTGCGTCCGCACGGGTACTGGTGTGGCACGTACGATTTTATTTTTAAAATATAATAAAAATGTTAATACGATTTTTATTACTAAAATAGTTTATTATTTTCATTCTTCAAAGATATTTTGAAAATAAAAACACAATTGTTTAACCAAAATTATTTTACAGCAAAATATATAAATATATCAATTTTCAATATATTATATTAAAAAATATTGTATTTTAAACTAAAAAATATAATAAATTAATTTAAAAGAGTGAATAAATCAGTTATATCAATTTTGTCATAGAAATCCAAATAATTTAGAAAAAAATCAAAATATTATAGAAAAAATAAAAAATAAAAAATAAAAAATGAACTGAAAGATAATTATATAAGAACTATTGTTAAGAAAAACTATTCACATATTTTGTAAAAAATAATTGTGAAAAATAGAAGAAGAAAAATTTGTTAGAATTGATAGAGTTGTAATAATAAAATAGTTTAAAATATGACTTAAAATATAAATAAAAAAATAAAAAGTCAGTAGTTTACTGACATAAGTTTTTCACTTATTTTCTTTAATTGTACAAAAAAAATATAAAAACCCGTACGTTTAATTGAATTGATATGATTATTCGAGTGTTTACACAATACTGATGTATTACACGTCATTCGCATATATACTAGTATATTTAACTGATTTGATATGATTATCCTTATGTTTCCACGATATTGATGTGTTACCCGTGAAATTGATCTTACACTAACTGGACATCGAAGTAACTTAGATTTGCATAATTCACAAATTTAAATTGTTTAGTTAGGTTTGCATAGGAAATATAAATATACTTTTTCTTTTTTTAAATTGGCAAAATGTTAAATAGGCATTGTACTTTAGTTTGAGGTAAATAACATTTGACCTGTGTCAAGTACCCACTGCTGCAGTCTAGAAAAATGCAGACAACACACAACTTTCACAACAGTCCATATAGTTAATTTGGATAAAGGTTACAAATATTTTGTATTAAACTAAAAAAACTTATATAAAAGATAATACTTCTTGTATAGTGCAGGAGGTAGGCTGTGAGATAGATGGGGAAATTGAGAATTATTACTCCATCTTTAATTCTAATTTTAGTTTATTCATCTTAAATATATCATATTGTATATTTTTCAATCAATATATGAACTTTTATCCTTCATTAATGTTGAGGCAAACGATTCATACAAAAAGAGAGAGAAACAAATTCAGACACGTGAAGTAGGCAGAAAGTTACACATTGGTGACAAGAAAACCATTACTCTGTATGTGAAGGAAGACCTACATAACTTTTAAAGTTCAAATATAATACTATCAGATAATTTTAGTATAATGGCAGTTTATTATCGTTTCTATTAATAGTAAAATATTGTCACTTATATATTTGCAGTAAAAACACTCTATTGAACAAATAAAGAATGTTGAGAGCTTTAGTTGTCAATAAGACTTTTGAATGTTTCAGATGAAAGTAAAATAAACAAAAAACCAAATATCAAAGCATGTATATATTACAATTCCTTCGAGCCAATGTTCTGGCAACACCGCCAACTATAGCCCCACAACTGTTGCAGTGATGCCAATTCCTATTACACCATCTACATTGATACACAAACCATTAGTTGATGTTCAGATGTTGTGATTCAAGATTAAGAAAGAAGTAATTTACATTTTGCAATTCGATCTTCAACTGCTTTCTTGAGGGACAGTGCCTGCCTTCAATCGGGTGCAATCTACAAAGAAATCGGGTGCAATCTACCGAGCAATGTAAAAGTTTCTATAAAGAATTGTGTTGTTAGCTTTCCTGAAAATTATATATATGTATGTTTTTCAAAATTCTTCATAAGAGTCATTAACAGACACTTTCTGAGCCTATTACATACAATTATCATCAATCTATTTTACTAAAATCACTTTCTTCTAGCAACGCTTTGATCCATCCACCACTGTGCTCGAATCGACGAGTTGATTTGCAGTGAAGTAACATTCCTCCTGTCATGTCAGGGACAGCAAAACGTCGACTGATATGGTATAAAATCAGAAAAATCTAGGCCAAGATTAACAATACTAATATCAGAATATACTAGTGCAATTATTCTACTATGTCGGTATTGTACCAATTTCTTGTAGAGTCATTATGATGTACTTTTAAATGTATTTCTAAATTAAAATTCACTTGTATTTTTAAATCTGGAAAAACAAAATTAGAAGTCATTTCAAAACTATTTTCATCTTTAAATTAAAATTCATTTGCATCTATTTGTAGAATAATTGTAATAGGAAAAATAAATTTTATTTTTAATGTATAGCAGAAAAATAAAGCTTCAAAACTTTAGATATTTTGATTAAAGTAATGATTTACGTCCAATTTATGAGACTAAGTTGAGACAATTACACTGATCAATTTTTATTATAATGTTTCATTTAGAATTGCTATTCACATAGTTAACTTTGAGATTTTTTAAAATAAATTTTCTTATATTTTTTTTAATCTAATTCTAACCTCCTCATTTTTTTATTATAAATGCCTAAAAACTCAATATTGTATTTTTAATTTTTAATCTATTTAGTTTTATTACACATCCGACATAAATTTTTTATTTTTACTATATTTATTTTATTTTTGTAGTGATTCTTAAATGTCAAATATTTCTAATGTATAATATCACAGTTCTAACTGTAGTCTAATAAAAAAAATTCTTTTATTAGTGGAAGATTACCACCATAGAGAGCAAAAGTAAATACATTTATAGTAATTGAGTTCTTAGAAGGTAGTAGAGTACTACAATAAAAGTGTCATAAATATTTTGATGGTCAGATAGTAACAGAAGCAACCACCAGACAGCAACTACGACCACCCACTTGCCCGTGAATTAAAGATAACCGAATCACTATCACTTAAAAAAAAAAAGTCGATCGAATCACATGGAGGTGGAGAATCAAAAACAACTTAAAGCATAATATTCCAACTAGTATTTATTGATAATAATGGCATTCATAAGTTAAAGTAACAGAAACAGTTATGGTTTTCCAACCCTATTTTAATGGTAAAAATGCACGCCACACACACAAACACAGCTGTTAAACTAGAAAACTCAAAACATAGAGCTTTTAAATACTTGACTTTTTGTGCTTTGGACTAGCAATTTGCATTTGCATTTCCTATTACAGCTACAATTTCACTTTACTAGAAAGTTGTAGGTGTCCTCGAACAAGTACTCGTAGGTTTTAAAAAATATCTCACTGTAACAAAATAGTATCTAAAGGTCTTGGTCCTTATATCATTTTTTTTATAAACAATAAATTGTAATTAATCCAACAATCAGCATTGTAACATTTATATTGAACAAATTTGCAAAAATCTTTACACCAAAGCAACGCGTATCAAATGAGTTGTCATAACACAAATATTCAATCTTTTTAACAATACCAAATTAAGGGTCCCTACACCAAAGTCCTTACCTCTTGCAGCTTTGCCGGAGTATTGTTTGGAGTGTGTGTATCATCTTGGGAATCTCAAGTTCCTAACTCTAATAATACGCATGAAAAACTGCTTCATAATTGACCAAATTTTGTTTTTTTTTTCCTAATGTATGTCTTGTTATAAGGTTTCTCCATCACAAATTAAAATTTTTAAAAAATAACAGATATGTCTCACATCTTATAAAAATCAATTTGAATGATGAGTTTTGTCAATAAAAAAAAAATCTAATAATTACTAATATATTAATAAATTTAAAGACCTAACAACCATATATGAACAATTTCTGAATCAATTTCATATTTCAACATCTGCTCACGCCATTACAAAAGACAAGAAAGAAGGAGCAGTTAAAGATATGACTCATAAACCTATCAACCAAACGATTAAACAATATAAAGAAACATAACAAATTTAATCTTAAGAATAATGAACAAAATACATACATGTTCCAAAATCTAAATACAAATGAATTATGAATTACCATAAACATGTTGAAGATTCAGTTTTGAGTTTGTGGCTATTACTACTAGTGTTTAAAAGCTGGGAAAAGAACCTTCTTCTACGGTAATAGAAAGCGCATTTAAACCTGGGAAAAAACACCAACTTTCTTAATCCACGAGCATGTCTTAGCTTTAACCAAACAACTTTCTTAGCACGGATTAAGGAGCCTTTGATTCTCTCTGTCAGACTTTTCTTTCTACAGAACTGGTAGCTTCTTAGGAACAACTGTCTCTTCTCCATCATGGTGTAGTTCTGGTCAGGGAAGTAGTTATAGTATCCAAAAGATTCACTTCTAAATAATGGATTCATACTCATACTTCCCATATCTTGAATTGATTCTCAACTCTAAACAAAGCAAAGAGAAGAAGAAATAAACATTATATATAATGATTCTAATGAAGTGTGACTTTTTTTGAAAGATAAAAAGAAGAAGAAAAGGTGGTGTGAATATGAGTGTATGAAGTGTGAGCAGCTATAAAAGTTCAACGTACCTGAATTTGGTTTGTTGCGTTCTGACGAAGACGCCACTGCAGTGGCTAAAGTCTTTAACAAATTCAATATTTGGTTTTCTTCTTCTCTCTTAAGCAATGAGACAGCACATTATTTTAAGGTACTAGTACTATATAACACGTTGACAACTAGATAAGCTCTTCTTCTTTTTGATGGACGGTCACGTGCTTTTTGTGTTGTCTGTTATTTTTTTTCCACTCTAAACAACACTTCCACTTGCTCTCTTTTTATTTTGGTACAAGTAGAAGTCACGATTCAAAGAGAAAATCAAACTAAAAAACTAGGGATATTTTAGATATATTTTAGGACATATAATTTAAAATAGGTTTAAATAGTTTTTTTTTTGTCATTGCTTGTTTTTTTTTATTTTAGTTTCTGTATTTTTTTTTAATAAAGTCTTTAAATATTGAATTTCATTTAATTTTAATCTCTAAATTTTCTGTAGATTTTCTTTTAAATATTTCTCCTGATTTTAACTTTAAAGAATAAAATCAAAAGGATAAACATTTAAAGATCATTTCCAAGAAAAAATATATAAATAAAAATAAAAAACGTGTCAACTTACGAAAATAAAAAGACTATTTAAATATTTAAAATATTTTTAAAAAACATTTTAATTTCACTCACACAAGTTTGAGTAAAATGTACCCTAAAACAAAATATTCATCTTGATATTATCTCCAAAAAATTAAATGTGCATTTAAATACTATTTAATTTAAATTTTCCATTTTACAATATGATTTATTTTATATATTGATAATGAGAATGTTGTAATTGTTGTTGGTTCCGTAGAACTTGACTAAATTCAATTAACTAACACATCAATGTGTTTGATGATATTGAGCCGCTATAACTTGAGTGATCTCTCATTATCTCTTATTATCTTTTATTTTACATTCCAGTACTTACTTTAAAGCTTTTTATTACTATTTCGAAGTAAAAATCTCTATCGAAGAGATTGACATCCAGAAAACTTAGAAAACAAAATATACATTATTGTCTTATGATCAATCTAGTCGATCTTGTAAGTAACCGAAATCTTTAAGATTCGAAAGACTAACACTTATACTAAATTTCACGGTAAACAGTGACATAAATATTTAAATGTGTTTTCCTAATTTATGAAGTCTACTATATAAAAAAATCTAGACCAGAGTTAAACATATTGATGTTCTCCATATTAACAAATCTCTTATTTTTAAATATAAGTAATTTTGTTCTCTTTAACAATCTTTATGTTTTTTCAACAATTTAATTTTGAATTGTTCAAGTTTGAAATTATGTTCCTCAGGGGATATGTGTTGGACTAGATGTCTGGGACAACTTGTCCAATTTGATATACTAGATAACATACAGTAAGACAATAACAATGGTTCTAAACAAAAGCAATAAAGAACACATAAGGTTTGTTAACCCAACTCGGTGAAGCCACACCTATGTCTTGGGGGCACTCTACCCAAGAAATGAAATTCACTCTTTAATAGAATTAGTACAGAGTTTCTTAGATGAACAAGTCTCTTGTTCAATGCTCCTCTTCTTAATTCTACTCTCAATGTGTTTTATTTAGGTCTTCCCCTAAATATGAGAAGTCCTTTCTCATTTTCTCTCAATCACTAATCTCAAAGGACCTACAACAAATAATCAAAGTGATCAATATTGAATTACAACTCAACTACACAAAGCAACTATTATGTCTACTGACTGAAGCAATAGTGTGATATGCAAGTAACATAAACAAAAGACCCGGCCTAAAATACTAAAAGCATGTTGTTGTACCCCAAAATTTTCCCTCCCATATTCTTCAAGACTTGTCAAGATCAAGCTCCAAAAGATTCAAAATCTCTCAAAGGTTGCACAGTCCAATTGCCTCCTAACACAGTTAAAATTAGGGTTTTGGTTCTTGCAAAGAAATTGAGATTTTCAAGGGCCCAATCAAGTCCCACATGCCTATGAACATTGTCAAGCATCCATATGTCAAGTTTCAAGACTCACAGCATCAAATTGCACAGTCAAAAACCTTAATTGCTTCACAGTCAACTACAGGGACAAAATGGTCATTTGACAGTCAAAAGTCAAAAATTTTGGTCAACATCTTATTTTGAAGTCACAAACATCATTTGATCAATTCTTGGTCATGATTTCACAGGCATGGCTCAAAAAGTCTCAAGATGCAAAAGTTTCTATTTTTCGACAGTTGAAAAGTCAACTGCAAATTGACCAAGGCATAACTTCTTCATAGTTTATCAGAAAAATCCCATCCAAAGGCGAATTTTGAAGAGGATTACATTTCCTACAACTCATATTCACACTTCAAGTCCAAGAAATGCTCTCACAAAAAGTTATCAATTTCAACATTATAGGTCATTTTCAAAAGTCAACAAAAAGGCACTTTAAGTCAAAGAAAATAACTTGAGATTGGTAAATCAAAATGACATGGGACCAAAGGAATTGGTTAGAGGACTTCAAGACCTTTCCAAAATGTCCAAGAACATGTCCATAGCTTCAAAATTGAGCAAGATATGCATTGGAGAAGTTGGGAAATTTTTGGGAATTTTGAAAAGTCAACTTTGCCTAAAACACTTCAAAATTGCTAATGGGCCTCAATTTCTTTCTTGAATCATTACCCAAAGCCTATGCACGACCCATTGAGCTAAAAATGATTTATTTTCTTATTTTTAATTAATTAATTGAATTTTTATTATTATTAATTCATTTAATTAGATTTAATTATGAGAAAAATATCAAATAATTCCTTTCAAATCTTTTTGTGCAGCAAATTCACTCATTATAGGCTAAAGATTTCGTGCACCAATCAACAAGACAAGATCATCCATATTTGGCAAGATTTGCATGGAAAAAAGATTGAAAAAATATATGGAAAAATCAAATATTGAAATCATAAATTCAATGGATCCATGGGCTTGTTTTTGACCTAGTTTGCTTCATGTACATATGCAAGACCTAACCTAATGCAAGGACACACGAAAAAGCTGCTGAAAGCACATATTCACTTTGCAAATTTTTCATAAAAAACTCAAAACTATTTTCTGATTTACAGTCCAATTCAGGGAAGATTGTTGATACCAAACCCTTGCTGAGACTTCTTTGAACGTGTTGCAACCATTTTCCAGTCCCCATACTCAAAGAAACGGTAAAATATGGTTATGGTTTGAACGAATATGTTGATAATCGAAACATGATTTCCATGCGTTATTCATATGTTTTATTTGTTGATTTAGACTAATAATGATGTTCTGAAGCGATTGGTAACATTTAATTGGACTAACACTGCCTGTAGTCGAATCCACCATTGATGAAACTTAGGGTTTCAGAAGCTTCAAAATAGGGCTTCCCATATACTGTAAAATTGGACCTTCAAACCTGTATGAATGAATTCGTGGCATCAAGACGAAACAAACCAACACCTCGCGCTCAATTTATATGATGCATAGTGATATTCGCTATTATCCACTGTTCCATTTAGTGGGGGTTTAAAACCCCCGCTATTTGTTTTGTATTTTACAGGAAGATAAAGAAGAAGGCTAGCGTGTCCAAGCATGGTTGGGTAATTCAAATGTTAGCGCGTTTTTTTGTTTGTTTCAGCATGATTATCTTGTTCATATATTATATTCTTTGTTTATCCATATAACAAATGTGTTGCCTGGCTCAGTTGGTTGATGAGGTGCCTTGCAGGTATAGGGACCTGGGTTCGATTCCCAGGTCCCCCCACATATTTCATGATTTTTATCCTAACGTGTTCAAGTGTAGCGCTCACTCAGTGGTTCACCATACACGCACATGCTAAGGCCTGCCAAGTGGACATGAGATCAATCCAAAGGCTACAAAAGGAGGTCTATCATGTACCTCAGTCAATGAACGTGCACACTATTCTGGAAAGTCAAACAAGGCTTTGATTCAATGGGCCAAAATTACTGCAATTTACCTCCCTTTGGGCCTGAAAATCCCCTTGGTTTGTATATTTTTAATTTTCTTTTCTTTTCTTTTTCTAATTCTTTTAATTATTCTTATTTAATTCACTTAAAATAATTTTCTTTTCATAATAAAACCAGAAAATCAAAATACAAAAATATGTTTAATTATTTATTAATTTACTCATTAATTTATTTTTTGTAAATAAACTCTAGCAATTAATTTAGTTAATTTAGGTTTTAAACTTTAATCTTTTCTTAATAAATAAAATAGGTAGAATTAGGTTTTTTGACATTTTCATCTTTTTCTTAATTAATTACTTGCCTCATTATTTATTATTATTATTAAATATTTTTGTAAATAAATATGTAAATAATTAATTAGCATAAATTAGGTTAACTTTTAACATTTTCATTAATAATTAAAATAACTTAGAACTAGGGTTTCCTTCTAATTTTAATTTTCCTTATTTTTCATAAATACAAAAACATTAAAAAAAAACAATTTCTTTTCTTAAATAATAATTAGCTTTAATTTCAATTTAATTTCAAAAGGGTCAAAACCCTCAGACGTCCTAACTTTTATTCTTTTCGCGCATTTATTTTCTTTTTGAATATTATGTAACTGCTCAAGGCTTGTAATAGTAATTAGGTCTTTTTACTTTCCGCATTTTTTACCAAACGGGTCTTTGTAAATTGGCGATGTATAGACCCGCGCCTTGTAATAGCGTAGGATTTATCTTTCCGCATTTAAAATTCCGCACTCTTAAATTCTAAATTGCATGAAAGAATGTATGGTTAATTAAAAACCAGCGTAGCTCACAAATACCATGATCAAAGATAAACTTAACATGAAAACAACACACAAATATACACACCACTCT